AGCGTGTTGTTGACGTGAGAGCTGAGGAAAAGGTAGGCTACATTGTAAGCATGACGAACCACGGTGATCGTCATCGGCGGTGTAGGTGGTGAATAAGGTCAAGATAGACTTCATCCACGACTCCTATGATGAGATCGCGAAGTCGGTCCTTTCGGACATCCGCTTCTTACCGGACTTGCTTGACTTCTCTGCCAACGAGAAGGATAACATCAACGATGAAACATGCGAGTTGTTGCAGCCGTACTTGCAGTTGGAGAACTTCAACCCTGCTGTGGCAAAGAAGGCCTCTGGTAAGGTCTGCTAGGTGGCCGTATAGTTATACTGTTCATGTAGGGGCTGCGGAGGGTCTATGCAAGTGGGTGGGCGCGATGGTCATGTACCATGAGGCTGCGAAAATCGTTAAGCCAAAGATGGACTATTTGAAGGTGAGCTCTATCAGTGTCGATTGGAGGGCTTCATGATACTCACTGTTTGGTCAAGGCGATTCACGACTCAGTTTTCTGATCTGTTTTTGAATGTCTCAGTAGGCAGTTAAGCTGCAAGAATCATATATCTGCTTGCTGTCGGTCTTATTGCTGCCCCATATAGTGTGGGAAAATATGCATATGGTCAACTACATGTGTTGATGACATTATGGAAATGCTGAGGAAATTTTTAGAAATTCTTGTTGGATTCCGTACACTTTCATTCGGAACGGTATGTAAACTTCTATAATGAGTGAGGAAACTCCTAAGCTCAACCGAGGAAACCAAACGTATATTCCAACACTGGCCCCATAGGTGCAAACGGCAAAGTTGGAAGCAGCGATGACAGAGCTGGGCGAAGCCGAAGCCGAGCTTGCTGCAGCGCAGCAGTGTTGGATGGCCTCAATGCCCAATTCCAGGAAGCCATGGATGGGAAGAATGCTCTCGAGGAGAAGGCTAATGTTACGAAGAACAAAATGGACCAGGTGGGGCTGTTGCTGTGACTTTGCCATAGTGCGATGCATAGTCCCGTTGTAGCTAATAAACTGATCAACGGACTCGGCGGGAGAAGAAGCGTTGGACTGAGGATGCCAACA